AAAAAAACTCCCAATCGCTTTCATCTGGAAAAGACTTGCCACAAAGCAGACGATATTACTAAGAATATTTTAACTACAAAACTTAAATCTATAGGACCAAGGGGAACGATGACGTCATCGTTTTCAAAAGGAATCGTTTTCGCTGTCCACACTGACCGGGATGCCGTATCGTTTTCAAAACGCTTCACTTTCAACAGCGTTTTCAAAAGGATCCGTTTTCGATGAAAACGCTCAGCGTTTTCGAGCGTATTAGTGTGGACAGAAGGGCAAAACGCATACTTTTCGATTCGTTTTCAAACGAAAACGCTCTAGTGTGGACGGGGCCTAATATTATTTACGTATTCAACTGCACTAATTAATCATTTTAGCAGCAAGTGCTTCCGGTTTGTCTAAACACATGTGTACGACGATGGTCAGAAATAGGTCTTTTGTGGCGGAATAGTGCAGCAGACGTTGATCTTACCCAATTGTACTTAGAGCTTCCATTTAAAAGCAATTATATCCCATAGGAATTGATCTTTATTTTAAAGCTTTAAATAAGACGAGTCTTGTAAACTGTTCATATAGCCTGAAGATTGCGAAAACATGAAACTTATATGATCAAATAAATGGTTGTAGGTTGGTCTATTCATTACGATGTAAGCGCTACTTCAACCTAAAAGTTATTTATCTTTTTTTTTGTCGAGCGTTCGGCTCACCGAGCCATTATCAAGACTGAATGAAAAACGTTACTTTTTTTTTTGTAAAATGTAACGTTTTTCATTCAGTCTTGATAATGGCTCGGTGAGCCCAATGCTCGACAAAAATAAATAACTTTTAGGTTGAAGTAGCGCTTACATCGTAATGAAACTTATAGTTGCTACCCGTGTCAAGCGTATTTGATTGTCGTACTTATATAATATATTAGGTCTACCCTGTATCGAGCACTCTTTTGATGACTGGATTCACTACATTTAGGACTCATTAACTTACATACTTGTCAAAACTCTAGGGATTAAACAAGCCCCTCTTAGCAAATCCCTCTGGAAGTATGCAAACACTAAMTACACAGAACCAACCAAAACGTCTGAAAAACGGCAATAAGCCCACTCACTTACTTCTCCTTTCGTTTCATTCTTTTGATATTYACATCAGATGTCAGACTTACGCAACCTTAACCACATATTACCAATTGAATTCTTCATAAGTAGACACAGCTAACCAACTAGCACGAACTCCCGAAAACTCGATAACGAACACACACTGGAAAACGTTAGCCAAAGTTAACTAAACGGAAGATTTGAAAAACCTAAACACACCAAAACCCATCGCTCGTCAACCAAAGACGTTCGAACTGCAGTGCCAAACGCCCAGCCTATGGAAACATAAAGCCGGTTGCTCGAAACTTGAATGAGCATAAACAAGTCTAACCAGGCACAAACCCAAACCAAACTCGCTCAATCATTCGCTCGTAAACCAAAACCATTAATACCGTGTAAAACGTGAAGCCCATGGGAACACAAACACCGCGTAAACCAACACCTCGCTGGAAAACCTGAGCGCATATTAACCAGCATTTATGAACACTAAACACAACCTAAACTCGGTTGACTCTTCCAGCTCAATAACCAAACACATTAAAACCGRTAAACCAAAACCTGCCCGTAACCTGAGCAAACTCCAGACTGAAACTAATGACTCGCTCCAACCACAGACCGGAGCTATAGTTCACTCGAAAAACCGAGCCCCAACTTAAATAGGCACAAAACTATATTGAAAACTATACCAAAGCAAGAAATGGTTGGCAAACACTCTGTGGCACTTACACAAATACTAG